TCCTATCCAGGGGGCCCATAAGTATGCCCAAGTGGGGCCTGACGCAGCCAAAAAACTTCTTCAGTCTGCAGTCGAACCTCATATCTTGTTGAACCAAGTTGTGCTGAGGCTTTTTGTAAACATACTAACTATGTATCTAAATGGTTTGGATCTTTGTGTTCCCTTTCTGATCTGATTGGTTCTGAGGAAGGTGTTGCCTTTGGGAACCAGCTTGCACTAATGCTGGTGGACTGCACGCCCTTGGTGGGGAACTTCTTTGAGGGGTTTATCGATCTTGCCAATGACCTCAATGTTCCATTGAAGTATGCTCCCATCTTTGCTGATGATTCTGCTGAAGAGTGGTTCTTCAGTTATTTTCAGCAGGAGCTTGTTCGCCGCTTCCAGTTAAATGACTTCAAGATCCGCAATGTTGACAGGCACAGGTCAACAAAACCCTCTTTCAGTGTCTCCCTCCAGGGTTTACATGTGTGTTTTCACAATCAATTCCCAAGCCATGTCTTGTGCCCCAAAAGCTCTTCATTGCAAAAGGTTGGCTGAAGAACCGCCGCCAGCCCACATGGAGTCCAAGCCGGAACCACCGCTGCTCAAGCGCTGTGTTTGGGGCAAGGTTGGGAGTTGGGAGAATGGGTGTTCTTTTGCGTTTAGATCCAAACAATCAACATGTTCTACTTCCACACCCCAGCAACTCTCAGAGTGATAGATATACAAATTCAATCTCAATTCCATGTCCTTTAAAAGTATGGACTGCAAAACAAAATAGCAAATGTCTATATGCTAGAATTCAATTGGCAATTGGCCCTATTTCTACTGCAATCCAGCACCAGGTGAATGGTGAGATCAGCACCATTGAGATTCCGGAGGCAGAGGTGAAGAAGTGGTGGGGGAAGGATGAGTGGAGGGTTTTTGTGCAGGACTTTCAGGACCGACACCCGACTGTCAAGAAGTTGGAGAAGGCTACCCCCAAATCTTCTGGCACCACTCCATCCACCACTCCGGTCCCGAGAAAGCGCAGCCTGGAAGTTGACTACTCCCAGTGTGTTGTGGTTGAAGATGATGCTCCTGGCAGTGCCACGATCAAAGATGTTGGAATCTTGAATGCGCGCTTCCCAGCTGATAAGAAGTCGAATGACCTTCCATCATTGGTGGTTTCTGATGCCGGCCCCTACATCAAGAATTCTACTGGATTCACTGTTCCCTGGCAAAAGAACAGGTTTTGTCTCCCAGCCCAAACTGTTCAAGCAAAAAATAGAAATCTAGGGGGTCAGTACAGTAACTTTCTAATGGTGTGCTCAACCAAGTGAGGTGACCATTGCAAATGGATCTGTCCTTGCTGGATGGGGCAAAGGGAAATTCCGTGAGAGGGGGCAAAAACCATGTGATGAGAATGAGTTGGAGTTCCTATGCACCTCCGAAACCATGGTACACATTGACAATAAGTGCTTGAGCCTATCAGACCTCTTGGATTCTGAGAAGGAGTCTGCAAAGGTTGCATACTACAAGGTGTCCAAGGATCCAGATGGAAAATGGAACTTCAAGCAGGATGGGTCTGGGGTTGGTTGTGTTGTTGAAAGAAAGGGTTGTGTGTGTTGAAAGAATGGGTGCATATTTTAGCATTGTTGGATGTTTTTTGGGATGTTGGTTCTTGCCTCGGTGCTTTTGGCCAATGCCAGGAGCACAGCGTGATTTTCACCCCCCAACCAGAAGATGATGGTGACAACAAGATCTCCCAGGCCCAGATTGCAAAGGTGGCCCCAGTGAAGCATTGGACTTCCTTGGTGACCACGGTTGGATGGCATGTGAAGCGCACTCAAAAGGGGATCTCGCCAATTCGCCCCATTGTGTTGGTGACCACCGATGTCTCCCTTGACAATGGAAAGGTCCTAGTTTTGCAGAGCTGATGAATGTAGCTCTGGCTGTAGTGTGGCCATGTCGGCCATGCTCAATGAAAGAATGTAGGTTTTGCAAATGCCTTGTGGCCCCAGAGCATCCATAGCTTGTTACAGCATTACAGTAGATTCCAATGTCTTGTAACCATGTGGACTTCTTTGAACTTGCTGGGTGCCACAGAATGAGCCGAACGACCTTCCTTGGCGTCCAGCCTGAAAAGTTGCCACCTACAGCTGATGGCAAGCACCAGGGTCCCAGGGTGATGAACCACCGAATGGATCACTACAACCCTCATGCATTGCAGAAGTGAGATTATCTTAGTAGTGCATGTTTTTTGGAACTGGTATTTTGTGGCAACACTGATTTTGTGCAACCCTGCCAAACACCTGAACCTGACCAATGTGGCCGCCTTACCTCGAGAACTGTGTGCACCGCCCAGGCCACTCCTCCAGTGGTGCTGCCAGGACAATGCGCTTGCCTGGGCTGGAGCTGTTCCGGTTGGGTTGGGGTTGACTGGTACCCCACTTTTCATCCATTAACCTGTCCAATCTGGGCAGCCACAGTTGGCTGAATGGTATTGCCCAAAGATGATGTGCCCTGGATTGAACCAATGAGACTAATCCCATGAAGAAAAAAACACTTAATGAGACTAATCCCATGAAGAAAAAACACTTGAAAAGAGTTCAAAAGAACTCATGAATGAACTAGTCCCTTTGAGCTCACTGAACTAATCCCATGAAACTAACCCTTTGAGTTGAACAGAACTCATTACCTGTCCATATATATCTCTGGAGGGATGGATCCTTAACTTTAACCATCTTGGAATGACCAGTGTGTGTCTCTCTCTCTCTCTTCTGTGAGTGCATGGCCAATGTGTGCAGATTCTGGACGCACTGATATCTTGGCTTGGACATTGCCAGAAACGGAGGTGGTGCATGCATGGCCACTGAAAAGAGGCGACAGAAGAGCCTCAAACTTGATGGGAAGAGCAGGAGGTGCTCCTATTTGGCCTGACAGCTTGGGAACTCGCTTGAGTGATCGCGTTGCAAACTTGTGCGCTGCCAGTGGCCTGCATTAAAGGCCAAAACGACCAACCGCTGGCTGGGAGGCTACCGCAACAGAGCGCAAACTGTGACTGAGCTGTGGAGGGCCACTGCGAAGAACTGGGTGACGCAGTGAGGCAGCTTGTGTGCGAGCCTACTCAAAGATGACAGTGATGGCATCTCTGCGAGTGAACCATACATCCAAGCGCTCAAGGCGTCAATTGCGCAGAAGTGGCGCGCAGGTTGAGCAGTTGGCGGTGGCTTGAGCAGACCAGTTGCAGTCTGCATCTGCGCGTGCTTATCGACCCAATGGCAACCTTGTGGTGATGCGGGCGATGAAAATGTCTTGCCCTCACTGATGAGGATGATCTTTGGATACAGGCGCAATTAGTTGCGAGTCTGGTGAAGACAAATTTTATTTGGTGCCGCTCAATCGCAATGCTTTTGCTGATCTCTGTCTCTCTCTCTCTCTCTCTCTGGTGGGCATGGTCTGTTCAATCATCCCATCTGGCTGGCGTTTGGGCCGCTTGTGTGCTTTGCTAGTACCCTGTACTCTTCAGTGGAGACACCCCTTCTCCTGAAACACCCCCTCTCCCCAAGCAGTGCACCCCCCATAGTTTGGGTCTATCCTAATACCTGTAACAGTGGATGATGATGGTTAGTAAAGGCCTTGTTCAAAAATAGTTATAACTGTTTACTGGTTGTTACAGGTAGTACGACAAACCCAAACCATGGTGCACCTGATCCAGCCAAGCTGGTGACCCAGTTACAAAGGAATTCACTGAACCTTGGTGTGCATGCCTTGAGGTTCATCTCGACTAATTAGTGGGGCTTACTCACTGGAAACGCATTGACTGCATGAAAAGGTGTTGCCATTATGGATCCTTTCTGAAGGAGTTCCCAGAATAATGGCCGCGGCCGATTGAAAATGCCTGAGCTTTTTGGCTCTATTGATGGCTCAAGCTGGCTCAAGTTCAATTTGATTTTTTTTGGGCAAGAAGCCACACTCAGTGATTGATTTTTTTGTCAAGAAGCCACACTCAGTGGCACACTACTTTGTGATTTTTTACATCATACACACACATATATATAAATATATATACTCACCATATAATGAGTTATAAGGAACTCCTCCATCCGATCTCTGTTCTGCAACTGAGCTGCAGGACCATCATCAGCCAGTGCTGCTGGCAAACAGCGGCCGCCGACCGCCGCGGCAGTGGCCGCGCTGTTGGGTTGGGGTGGTGGTGTGGGAGCAAACCCTAATCAAACAAATTTATAAAGCAAACACCACCCACCCCTGAATCAAATGAATTCCAACCCTAATCACCTGCAAAACTTTTGGGGCTCTCTCCTCGTGAAGAGACGTGGTTGAGGCTTTGAGGTCCCTATACGTCTCGGTGTCCCAAAACCACCGGGAAACTATACCGTCGGTGATACGACCGTCGGACGATACGATTCACACGACCCGTCGACTGGGACCCTCGACTGTCGATTCGTCACACGGTCGGTCTTGGGGGACCCCGTAGAAGGTCATTCAGAGAGGACCGTGATGAGATCTTCTCTGAGGGGGGTGATTTTCCGAGGTGGCCAGAATTGAGTCATCCTGCTCTCAGGGCCTGTTGCCGGATGTTCAACTGTTCAACCTTTCCAAGCACAGCCAACAGGGTCGGTATGGTGAGTACACCAAAGCCGTATCTACACCGGAGGATTCCAACCACCATTGAATGATTGGTCACCAATCAAGAGTGTTGCAAAGAATTTTAGACGACCACAGTATATACGTCCAACCGAACTCTTTGAAACCGTCGAACGGAAGGCGAACGGAGGCTCTCGTCCTCCCAAAGCAAGTCGTCCCCAGATCGCCGGAGGCGAGGCGCGAGCGCTTTCTTTCTGAACGCGCCGCTTGGCACTCCGTGTTTTGGGGTGCGCCGCCAAGGGAACCGCGGCGACCACGCGATCCACCGCACTTGGCCTGGATCTCTAGTGGATCATGTGATTTTCGCATCAAAGCTTCACCCAAGAACCTAATGCATCAGGTTTCGCCTAAGCTGAACCTCTCTTGTTTTTGAGATCAAAACGCTTCAGGCCAAGGAGTTCTTGACCACGTCCGGGAGCTCTACATTCGCAAGCATGCAGGTTTCCAACCGCTCAACTTCATCTTCACCGTGCCCATGGCACCTGCGCGGGTCCAGCGGCGGGGGGGGGGAGCCGAAGGGTCGTTCGGTGCACCGTTCGAAGGGACGGACGAGATGCCGAAGTGTGAAACAGCTTGCTTCGCACCCGATCTCGACCCCAAGTCCAGAGTCCAGTTTGACTAGCACCCGACTCTTGTGGTCTCTCCTGGTGGAAATGGAGACTTGAAAGTGGCAGGCGGTGACCTGGCAGGTCTCGGGTGTTGGTATATGTTGCATGTCCGAAGTGATCAAGAAATTCCTGAACTCTGGTCACCATATTCCTCTACAAACAGGTGGTATTCTAAGTCCATGATGATTTTTCCATGACTCTTGGGGGAAAGGTGACAGTCCTAGCAACTCATCGAGTTTAAGGGTCCAAAACCGAAACTCAATACGTCCTGGATGTGAACTTGATCTGTTGCGGGGTCAAATGAAAAAGACGGGTTTATCTAAATAGTTTCACGGGCACTTATGTGGAAAGTTCCACCACCGAAACGCCATCCACCACTGCATGTTCTCAATCAATGTCGAAGGTCATCAGCAAAAATGTGTTTCGCGATGTGTCGCGTTTTTGTTCTCCGAAACATGTGGCCTTCTGAACAGACCGAGTGCAGTAGGAACATGAAGCGGTCCATATTAAAATATGGTCTGCTACCACTGAAACCATTGGTTCAACTTTTATGACCATTGAACCCATTGGTTCTGCCGCAGAACAGCCGGTTGCACACTTGGGCCGTATGACCCAACTCCATGGGACTGGAATGTATACCGACATTGTTGCTGGTCAACCACCCCCAGCCTTAAACCATTCCACCAAAGGAATGGTTCTTTTCCACCACCCCAGAGGCCGTGGAGATGACGCAACCCCGCAGCCACCCAAGTGTGGCGCGGCATTGAAGCGTTTGCGGATTATTTCCCATCCCCTTTCCTTGCCTCTCTCCACTCTGCGGGTTTTGACCCACCATGGACTAAAGATCAAAGATATCATTGGTTTTCGAATCCAAGACACGCCATGCCGTATGGAAGCTACATTGGACGTTCTTTCCGGGGTCCAACGGACCATCATAGATGCCTTGCAAAGCAGTTCATGTCAGAACCTTCTTGCAATTAATCTCAAATTGATAAATTAGCTTACTTCGAGTGATCCGCATGGCAAGCATCACACAGAGCACTGCCCATTTTTGTTTGAAGCATTTGGTCATGTGAGACACAACCCAAGCTACCCCTTCAGCGGTGCTCATTTGACTAGTTGGTAACTCAAACACATCCACATAATGAACATGCCACCCGACCACCTGAGATACCCAGGTCTGCCAGCAAACACAAACATGCCGGCGCGCCACCTGTCAGGGTATGTACTTGATCAGCAGATAAAAATGTCAGCCAGCCACCTGAATCAGGTACCGAGATCTGCCAACACAAAGTTGACAAGAGGCCCACAAATAAAAGATAACCTTTTTGTTGTTTTGGGGGGGGGGGCACTCGTCCCCCACATCTGTCCCCCACATCACTGAACGCTGCTTTTCAAAAAGCACTCGATGATCTGAGTCGATCTGGGCCTGGTCGATCTGCATGAGCTCTGCTGCTGACTTCTCACATGCATTTATGTCGTTTTGAACCACGGCAATCCACAGCTCCTTTCACAGCACAAGCTCATGGCATCGATGCCTTTGCATCCATGCAAATCTTGCAGGAACAGCGAGGGCAGAACTTCGGCTTCTTAGTCTTCGGCTTTCCCTCGCGATCTGCTTTCGTGAACTTGGCGGGGGCCTGCTTGGTCCCACCGCCCCGCACCACACACGAAGCGCGCTCCGGCTACCGCGTCCCTTGGCAGCGCAGCAGCCCAGCACCGCGCAGCCCGCGGGCCAACCTCCGCGCCTCCATCTGGGTGCGGCAGGGACGAGATTTGGTTCGGCCTGCGTTGTCAAATGTGCGGGTGAACTTTCCAATGGACTCAACCCACTCGGCAAGAAGAGCTATCAAAACCAAGCGGTCCATCGTCATCACCTGGCCCACAGTCAGGCCGCGAGCGGTCTCCGGGAAATAGGCAGGTAACAATGTCATTCCACTTGCTTCTTCAGCTACACGAACACAGGCACCGCACCTTCTTATTTGGAGCACAAAGTCTATGGCGCTCGGATGACTTCTTCCATTCTGGACACCAACTCCTGGCATTTCTGTGATGATGTTGGCCGTGTGCAGCAGCATGCTGGAGGTGGGACAGGCGGAAACTATCAAAGTGACATGCGAACAAAAACACTGCACATATGACAGACATGCTCACCCTATGGTGCTGGCGCCGGCGCCGGACTCTGTGAAGACGCGAAAGAATCGGTCTTCGACACCTGGCACGTAGAATTGGCTCAAAACACAACATGCAACGCAGGCCCACCTTGCAATCGACCCATCTTGGAGAGATCGGCTTGTCGGGGGAAGGCAAGGCAAATAGTAGGCCATGGTCTTGCCTTGTCAATGCCAGCTCCATCGTCATGCTCAGTAAGATGCGCTCACGCAATACGCTCTTGCGCAGCTCGGTCTGGACCATCCCCGTGTAGCGATGACCTTATCCCAGCAAGAAATCCACAACGTGCACCAGCTGATGATCACGCATGGAGCCAAAAAGGTTCAGCCATTCACGAGCACGAGCCTCGGGACCTTCGGCCATGAAAAGTGGACACCAACTTTGTCACCAGAAGGTGGGGCCGACACTGCCTCACCGTCCTCTTCCACCTCACCCTCACTCTCCACATCGTGTATAGCCACCGGGCATAAACCCTTGAGAGCTGAATCTCGCACATTGGTTGCCACTGTGCACATCGCAAGCTCTTCCTCTGTCTTGCGGCTCCTGATATGAAAAAACGAGGTGAAAACAAATCGAAAGCCGACGGCCAATTCAATCTGCCCAAAACTCTGCCCAAAACCTTGAACCCCAAGTATAGAGCGCAAATTGCCAATGCCCCTTGTTGATGAGTTTGGTGTCCTTCGCGGGCAACAACAAAAGAGGTTCTCAAACGGGTCAATCAAGCCGTTGCGCACGCCAGGAATGCCATTGCTGCCAAATTTGCGGTTGTTTGTAAAACAACCTGATTTCCACAATCCCCCGTCGTGGGCAAAAGCAAGCCTGTCTCTTCAGATGCTTGGCAAGTTCCTTCCTGACATTTGCCTCGCTGGGCCTTGCGGTGGCTCCCAATATCAAGACGCAATCTCCGCGCTGCATCCACATGTCACCTTTGGCCCGCTCTTCCAAAAATGGGTTGCCAAGGGCCTGTGCCAAGGCTTGCCTCAAAATGGTGGCCGGCAATGGCCCCTGGAAGTGGTGTACCGGCGATGAACCATCCGTTGGGACACCGCAGCACATAACTTCGGCCCTGGAATGCTGGCAACGTATACTCCTTCAGGTTAGAAAGCTGTTCTGGTGGAACGACGCGAAAAATCACAAAAGGCATCCATCCAGGCGGCAGCAAAACTGGATCATGCCCTGCACATCCAGGCCAAGAGAGGTTGGGCCAGGTCTCAGAAATGAGGTTTGCCAACTTCGGCTCAACCTCCTGCTCGGCCAGCAACTCAGCGGGCATTTCCTCCTGGAATGGATCACGGATCACATCCAAAACACGTATCTCTAAATTAAATACATATATATATATATATTTATTTGGTTTTTTAATGTGTATACCGTATATCTATATATAGATAGATAGATAGATAGATAGATAGCTAGCGATTGGCACAAAAACTATCTAGTGGCCGCGCGCCTATCCTCGGGATCCTCGCTGACCGGATCTTGCGGAGCCAGAGCCGCTTCGACAGCCAGCGTGGCTCATCAACACACAAGGGCAACTGAGGGGCAACTGAAGCTGGGCTGCAAGTGCTCTTTCATCTCCACGAGGCTTTTCGAGTCGATTAGCTCTTTCCACTGCCTCTCCTGAAGCGCAAGTTCGGCTGCCAGCTTGGGCGTTCTTGTCGGTCGACTCTCAAAGGGCAGACCAGTAGGCCAGTGGAGGTGAAAGCAAAGACTTCAAGCAAGGAAGGGCCTCACGCTGGTATGGGTGAAGCTGAGAGAGCAAGGTTACATCCTCTGCCACAGTTGCCAATCCAGAAGCCTAAAAGGCTGAGTGGCTGACAAAATTTTGAAGAAAGCCCTCTGGACTCTTCACATCGGATGGCTCCGGCTTACCCCTACCCGGCTTCAGCTTGCTCACAAGGTATAGAGCAATCCTTCGAGACAGCAACGCTGCTTTTTGAAATGACAACACCACATCTCGAGACTCGTCGAATGCCAATTGTTTACTCTGCAAGGCCAGTTACAGAGCCTTCACCAGCCATGCCATGCCAACAGCGCGCTCTCAAGGACAGCATTGCGCTCGATCCGCGTCATCTGACAAAGTCTCTCCAAAGGAAGGGAAGTGTGGTACTAGTGCAGTAGTCGTGCCAGTACTAGTAGTGCCAGTACTCTAGTGGCTGGCTAGTTAGTTAATTAGTCAGTTAGACAGTTAGTTAGTTGGTTAGTCTGTAGTAGTAGTCGTAGTCGTAGTGGTCGTAGTGGTCGTAGTGGTCGTAGTGGTCGTATAGTGGTCGTAGTGGTCGTAGTGGTCGTTATGGTCGTTACGGTCGTTGTGGTGGTAGTGGTCGTAGTGGTCGTAGTGCTGGTCGTAGTGGTCGTAGTGCTGGTCGTAGTGGTCGTAGTGCATGGTCGTAGTGGTCGTCGTCGTCGTCGTCGCCGTCGTAGTCGTAGTCGTAGTCGTAGTCGTGGTAGTAGTAGTTGTTGTAGTAGTAGTAGTAGTGGTACTAGTACCAGTACTAGTGGTAGTATTAGTAGTAGAACTACTACTAGAAGTACTAGTAGTAGTTGTAGTAGTAGTGGTGGTAGTAGTAGTAGTACTAGTGGTAGTAGTGGAACCAATCAAATAATAGATAGGCTTTAAAGATCAGAAAGAGTTTCAAGATATAGGTTTAATCAACACTTGTGGTCTTCTTTAAAGGTTTGGGGAAAGGTTTTGGGGATTTGTAAAAACCGATCCTGGGGATTGGTTTTTCTTGGTGTTGGGTTTTTTAATGTTAAAAAACCGATCCTGCGGATTGGTTTTTCTTGGTGTTGGGGATTGGTTTTTTAAGATACCCAAGCCCGCCAGAACCGATCCCCACAAAAAAACGATCCTGGGATTGGTTTTTTTCCCGGATGCTCAGGGAATTGAACGATTCAACCAGCCTGCGCATTCGGACCTGTCCTTGCAAGCTCCAAAACATCTACAGAAGGCTGGCATGGAGCAGGCATAGCTGCGGCAGGCCTTCATTACGAGCTCTTGAAGTTATCCAGGTTGAAACCCTCAAAGCCACCCAGAGGCACCGGCCATTCATGACAACTGGCGCAAATGTGAAAATGAGAATGGTCAGACTTTGACATCTTTGACACATATGGAGCTGGGATCACCCGCCACCTCCTCTCGCGTCGCAGCCTGGGCGCAGCTGCGAGACCGGGCAAAATCATGGCTTGCACATTGGCCTAAGATTTTATTGCGACATGAATGATACCAGCAGGCAACATATTCTCTTAATCTCCAAAAACCTCCCTCGGTCGTAGGCTCCGACATCACCGGCCCCAAGTGCATCCCCAGTTGCAATTCATGTCCGCCGGATAACAAACCAACAAATGAAAGCATTGTCCTGCACGCGGGAGGCATAGAAGGTTTTTGCTCTCAATCTTCTGGCACTATAGGCTTACCGGCTAAAAACTGGGAATGGTTGGACATGCCAAAGCGGACTTCATCCGCCCAGCTGCCAGGGTGGCGGCACCTTCAACCACTTTGCTGGTCAAATCTACTAGCAATTTACGGGCCGGCTTGGACACGCGTGGATGCGCCACGTTGGCAACTTTTTTTTGTTTCAAGCATGTTGGTCATCCCGGGTGGGCGCGGGAAAGTGAATGCTAGCAGGGGTATTGTTCCTTTTATGCCCAGCCTAATGAATTGACGGCAACGTGTTTTCATGAAGAAATCTATCCATCCAATCGGAAGGCTGGGGGCACTTGAAGACATTGGCAAAACAATTCAAGGGGGCGAGCTTTTTCTCTATTTGACGCAGGGGCACCGCAGTTTCGTTCAATGTAGCTCTTTGCAGCAAAGAGCTGCCAAGAAGCCAGCGATGCGCCAGTGGCCATTATTGTCCACTTCATCTGATTCCACAACGAAAAACTTATAAATCTATGAGCCGTGTCTGACGTGTCTCTACATGCATCGAAGCTGTTATCTATTATGAGCTCGTCTGGTATAATATATCAATGTAAACCAAAACACCGCGAAATGAGTAATTGTTAGATCTCAGAACGCTGAAGTTCCTGCGAGGGAAACCCAGAACCCCCTCAGATGAAATCTAGTTAGAGACTCTCTCTTGAAACCATACGAATGTCCATCAAATGCCTCCCCCAGCAATCAAAAGCAGAAGGCCAAACAAAGGCTGCGCATCACCGCTGCACCAACTCTGCGCCCAACTACACAATATGCCAGGAACCAAATGCCGAAATGATCATGCGTTACCGGGTGCAAAACTGAATAGAACAAGGGAATCCCAATCGTGCTAGTCTATTGTCCCTTCCCTAGTTTACGACAAACGCCCGCGTAGACAACGAAGCTATCGAAGGCAACCTACCTAGAGTCATGCATGCCAAAGCGTCACACCTCACGTGTTACATGTTCACACCCTTGAGCAAAGGTCTACATACATCCTCTCCTAAAATGTCCAAAACAACTGCTGCAGCATAACTAAATGCTTTCTAACTCTGCAGTTTCACAAAACACTCACACGCGCAACGAATCCTAGAACCAAACCCACATGCATCATGGATCTGACCTGCCACTGTCGTCACTCACACCCCTGAAGCCACACTCCGCTCGCCTTGCTCATCGCCTTGCTGAGCGCCTCGCTCCACACGCTGATGTCCATGATCTGCCACCACAATGAATCAGACAGGTCTGTGTGCTCACACAATCTGCACGCAACCAGCTATGCAAAATGCCATGCTGCGTCTGCGCTCTGCACAAGTGCCATTGCTCTTCGGCCACTGAAACACTGTGCAACACATGCTACAGATTCCGATGCGCTGCTGCACGTGTAAACATGTATCCAATGATACCTCTTCTTACATTGGTTTGCTACCAAAGCTTTCGAGACACATGGTTCTGCTGCAGAGACGCATGTGTCAACATGTGTGCAACGATGCCTAGTATTACACCTCTGACCTGTTGCTGTGAGCCATCAAGTCCTACATGCCGCTTCATAGCTAGCCAGGCCCAGGCAATTTAAACACAACAGAGACTATCCTTACACCATGTTCTGACGCTTGTGCTCTCACACTTCCTTGCTTAAAAAGACGCAAAACTGACTGGCACTCCATCTTGCATTCTATCTGGCATATTTCTGACATTCTTTCTGACACGTCTTAAGGCATTCTATCTAACATCTCAATATATATATATATATATCTGTGTGTGTGTACATATATTCCGGCATTCTATCTGGTGAGGTCCGGGATCTAGCGCTCGCGGTTGAGGTCCGGCGGTGCCCACTGCGATCCGGCGGTGCCCACTGTGATCTAGCGAGCTGGCAGTTGAGGTCAGGTCCTGCGATCTAGCACTGGCGGTTGAGGGCCCGCAGACGGAGGAGGAGGAGGAGGAGGAGAAGGCGGTGGGACGGGACAGCTCTGATGAAATCCGAAAACAACCCTCACCTGGCTGGTGGAAAAAAGAAAAGAAATAACGGAGAACCCTTCGCGATGCAGTTGGGAAGGGTTCTAACTGAGGCCTCTCCCATCATCCGCCCGGATCTCAGACTCGCCTGCCGGCGCCGCGTGCGGAGGGAAACGCTCGTCCAGATGCGGGTCCTGTCGGCTTCGGAGCAAGGGGTGGAGGTGAAGACAGGGAGTTAGACGAAGACACGTGGCCGGAGAATTGGGAGGCTTTAATCTTTGGGAGTCCCCAAAAAGATCCACCAAGGCCAGAGTCCGACACCGATGGATGTTGGAAGTGTCATGGGCAAAACGGTTTTTGAAAACCGCAAGATATTGAGAAGAAAAGGATGAGATGAACGCCAAAACCTACACTTGCAAGCTTCGACATGTCTGTAAGTGAGGCATCGCAAAATCCGCAGGGGGGCGGTTGTGGAGCCTCCACCTGAAGATATCCAAGTGAAAAAAGCAGAGCTGCTGAGCTGCTGCGAGGTCCACATGTGAGGAAGAAGAACACTGGCAGCAGAGAGGGGATCGAAGGAAACGACGCACGTTCGTCTCACCTCGGACAGAGTTCGGCGGTTGACCTGTCTGAGCGAAGCGGGGTCGGACGGGGTCGGGGTCGCCACTCCCTGTCTCCTGGACGCTTGAGCTGGCTTCCTCCTGAACGAAGAGAAGGAATGGGTTTTGGCCACACAAAAATATAGCCTAGAGGATTCCAATGGATTCCAACCACCATTCACTTAATGGGTTTTTACTGAACAATCATTGTTTTACAGAGGAACTGAGACTACAAACCAGGTTTGTCCCTTTCTTTTTATGGTATTTGAAGGCTAGGGTATAGAATTGGGTAAATCCCACTACTTGGCAAAAAAACTTGCTGATTTCCAGATGTCCATTCATCACTTGGTTGACGCTGCGTACTCGGACTTACAGCTTACAGTCGTAGTCTGGTGGTCAAACGAAGAGTTTAATTGATGCCTTGTTTGTACCCTGCTTTCCATTGCTTTCCTACCAAGTGGAGGACAGGGCCCCCAAAAAAAATGCGTGTTTGTCCAACCACACAGCTGCGATGCCATATGTAGCCGCGCTGCCGCGATGTTCGAGTCATCTCTGTCGTACCCACGAAGGAACCCAAGCAGTCCGACGAGTGGAATGGACCTTTTCCGTGAGGCTTGGAGCGGCCTGAAGTGACCTGAAGGTTGCAATTCACTCTGAGGTTCTGGGAGTGTTTAAAGAAGAAGTTGGTCCAGCATTCCCCTCCCACCTTCGGCTTCACCAGTCCCCCCCCCGACGCGCGCCAAGATCGTCCTCGTGCTCTTCCAGCTCCTCTGCATCCTCCTCGCGCGCCGAGCATCATGGAGCATCAAGGTCTATACCATGTCCCAGCACCTTCCAAGAGGTGTCTATTCATAGCCTCTTAGAGGTTAAGGGGTGTCCAAAAATCTCCAGGCTTGGTTTCGGTCCTGGTCTATATATGTTCGGGGCGTCCCCTCATCGTGCGACAATCAGGTGCTTCAACGGCAAGAGTTCTCGATCGTCAGGGTGTTCTCTGTGCTCGTGACGGGGCTGGTGACGGGGCTCCTGACGTTCGGTGTAGTTCATGAGTCATTCTTCTCGACCTTCCTACCGGGTGGCGCCCAATCCCCACCAGAAACAAAGGGATGCAGTCCCAGTCCCAGCCATTTCCGTGAAGAATATATAAGAATATCAAGCCGGCGCCATCATTGGAAGAAGCATTTGATTCATCTTCCCCAAGGCTTCCAACTACCTTTCATTTCATAGGCTTTATATGGCTTTATCGGATCCGTTCCCATTTTTTACACTACAAACACCAGGTCGTTCCCATTTTTGGTAAATGGTCAGACGGAAGTCGACCGGGTCGTTGAGTCTGGGACCGGGTGTCAGGCACCGTCGTCACGGTCGCCACCGGGTGTTTCTGCCAGAACACGATCCCGCGGACTCGCCGCGGACTCTGGGGGTGGTTGAAGGCTCCTTTGGGTCTATGTGAAGATTCTACACATTGGAGTGTTTGGGAAAGATGCCCATTGTCCTCCTTTTGGCCACCCATCCTGCTAGCCACCCCCGCCCACCCCGTGGGTCCCTGACTTCTCTGCCGCACCACATGCCGCAGCGCCACGGCAGACGTGGCCGCACCGCCTGACCGCGTCGCGCGTGTCACGGCGGTCCTCCTCCTTGGACTTCTCGAGCTCCTCGCGGCGAAGGTCGGGGGCGGTCGCCCGGACCTGGTCCCCGGCGGTCGTGGCCGTCGTGGCGACCGGTCGACCGGTGACATGCCGAGGAGTCTGCCCAGATTCGAGTCCGGTCGACTAGCGTCCGAATGGTCTGAGTTGGGTGACCCGAACACGTGAAGGAGTTGAAACGGTAACCAGTCGGTCAAAACATCGTCTTTGGACGTCGACCAGGAACCAGGCACACCAGAGAACCTCCCAGGAACCAGCCCGTGAAAGGTCGGGCTTTCGAGCTGGAACCCAGCTAATATCCCAGCTCTAGTGGTAGCTGGATGCCCTGGGAGGGATTATGTACAGGGGTTTCAGAGTAGATGGCGCAATCCCCAAAAGGCGGTTTGGATGGACCCCTAAAAACCATGATCTTTGGGTGCCAGTGCCATCTCCTCTGAAACCACTGTAGTGGTTTTGACCCACAGCCGAGTCATGTCATCGTTCACAGCGAGTTCGCCTCCTGAGCGGCTGCTAGCTTGGCTGCCGCCTCCTTGGCAGCCTGGCAAGCCCAACAAGGCAGGCTTCGAGCGAGACCAGCACAAAGGGGTCCATACACTTCCATGACCCTGCGAGAAAAAAGATTATTGTAGACATGTGTCCGTCAGGTTACCCGATTTTAGACATCAAATACCTTTACTTCAGCGTGCAAAATAGTAAGACTTGGGATTTATGAAAACAAGTGAAAATGCATGATTGATAATTTCGCTGTTGATCGCTGTTGATGAACCTTGAGGACGAAACGAGCTGCTTGCTGGTCCAGGACCCAGAGATCCGCTTTGGAATCCCATCAAAAATAGGCCCATCCTCTAGCCACATCTGGGCCCGTAGCTGATTACAAAGAGGTTCCAAGGAAAGAAACATCCCAAGCAGAAAACCAAAAGTTGAAACCCGGCAGGTGAGATCCTTTGCATATAGACGCGGTGTTGTTTTTTCGGAGCGGGTCGATGATGGGCTCGCAGCGGGAGCGGTCGGGCGAAAACGACGATGTTCTGCCAAGCCCTGAGAGTCCCTTTGTTCGACCATTTGAAGAAATGGTCCGACAAAGATCCTCCAAGACCTGAGGAACTTCACGACTTCTTTTCCTGAACCCCTTTTGGTGCTGCCAAAGATCGTCCAGGCTCCGGGCGAAACAGGGCGAGCAGGCGACGGCTTGTTGAACACCAAATGAAGACAGCGTGTCGAGTCAGCGGCTGATCGTCTGATTGATCTGATTTGAAGAGATGAAGAACGTTTCAACGGCTGAGAATGACACTCTACCTGGTCCATGAAGTCGCATTAGGCCATCTGCCTGAAAAGAAACCTTTTAAAGACTCCATGGCCTCCTCGTCCCAAGACCCGGGGCTCCAATTTCCGCAAAAAACACACGCGTGGTATGTATATAGATTAAAAAAAACAAACAAACAAAACAAAACAAAACAAACAAACCAAACCAAACCAAACCAAACCAAACCAAACCAACCAACCAACCAACCAAACAACCAACCAAACAAACAAACAAACTTGAGGCCAGAGGGGGTGAACGAAAGCTAGCCGGGCTTCCGGTGGTCTGCTGCTGGTGCTGCTGCTGCTGGTGCTGCTGCTGCCGCTGCTGCGCTGGGCGCTGCTGCGCTGGTGCTCTGCAGGCGCCGGGTCGTCTGCTGCTGCTGCTGCTGGCGCTGGGTGGTCTGCTGCGGCTGCTGCTGCCGCGGCGTTGGGTATGCTGCTGCTGCTGCTGCCGCCGCTGGGTGGTCTGCTGCTGCTGCTGGTGCTGCTGCTGCTGTCACCGCGCGCAGGGGGGAGTCGAACCGCGGGGGGGGGGGGTCCATAAGATTGATTTAATCAATTATTTGAGGTTTCTGAGGTGCGTCCACCCCGTCACTTAACTTGCTAAAGCAAGAGCAACTCCAGCTAGCTAAGGCTAGCTTTCGTGACAACAAACCGCCGCGCGGAGCACCTTTCCCGCCGGAGCGCCGCTCGTGCTATAGATGAGCGTTTTTTGCGCTAAAGGAGCGCCTTGGATTTGCTACTCTTCTCGGCCTTCTCGGTCTTCGCCTGCACACGGTTTCTCCGAAGACGAGCGCTGGACGGTTTGCAGCTTATTGTGGTCTGCTTCTTTGGGCCTCAGAGGTGGTTTCAGATGCCAAAGGCTTGAATGTCTCACCCCAACATCATCACCCTTTCTTCACCAGCTTTCACCGGACAATGGGCACCGACCGGCCTTGTCCTCTTTGTGTGCTTTCTCCTTCTTGCTCTTCTCCTCCTCGCACGTGCGCGAACGCGACACGACACGAGAGACCGCGTTTCCGGTGTCCATTCGTTCCGGTCCCACGAGTGATCGAAGGAGTCGACGAGTCGCGCGCCCGGTCGAAGCACCTTCAGAACCCCGCGTCCTTCGACCTAAAGACCATGGGTGGTCCCGGGGCCAGGGGGTGGTGCATGGATACCCCTTTGATCACCTCTACCAGGACCGAAACCAAGCCTGGTGGTTTTTGGACACCCCTTAACCTCTTAAGAGGCTATTTATAGACACCTCTTGGAAGGTCCTGGTAAGGAGCGATCATATGCTCTAATTAGACACCCCGGGGGGGCCTTGGGGGCCGGCCCTGAGTCAATCCACCCACCGCGCGCCCGCGAAAGAACACCGCACTCGAGTCGCGAGGGTCTGGTCCCGAAAGAAAAACGGATGCCAAGGCTTTGTGCTGTGCCGAGCCCAAAAATCTGTGGATGCAAAATGTCTTTGGGCCATTGACCATCTATCTGGTGTGCACCTCCTAACCTTGCGGAAAGAATAGACCAATGCGTGCTTCGACCCCTTTTCGTTCGCCCTTTTTGATCCAAACCTGCCGTTCCGATGTCCAACTATCAACCGCCTGAAGGACCACGGTGTTTCTTAACACTGCAAGGACCAATCAAAGGATGCTTTCGTCACCTCTTATGCCATGGTAACTCAAACGAAAAGCTCATGTTCCATTTGTCAACTCTTTCCATTGCCAATCGAGGCCACCCAACATCATTCAAGACTTCGATGTCATTATGGCCGCCCTTCTTCCCATATGATCCCAGCAACCGCACCTTGCTTGGTTTCTCTTTGTGCGCCTGAAAGCCATGGAAAAGCCATCTACAACGAGCGTGCAAAACTTAAAGATACTAAAATTAGTACCAAATGTCTATAATAAGAACATAATAAAAGCATTCATGCATCTTATACAGCAAGCAACATGCTTGCCAGCCCTTGCGTGCTAATGCTGTGACACTGACCAACCACATAGGCCAGGATGGCAAACCTTGTTATGATCCAAAATAGGATCGAAATCATTGCATGCCGGACAAAATCACCATATGTGTGTTTATCTCCATGGATGGAAAAAATAAACAAACAGAAAAGTAGAGGACAAGTTGCACAGAGCTGAAACTTGGTAATTTGTTCCCACAACCCCAGACCAGCCATAGATGGAATAGTTATGACTCTATTAGAGGTCGTAAATGATCGTATCTCCGTAACTATTCCAGTCCCATGGATAGTCTGGGCGAAAACAGACCTTTTTGATGGCCTGAAGAAAACAGCCTGGTCTGGTCATGTCTGGTTCATGTCCCGCGGCTCTGGTCGCTATTGGTTGCTCGCGAGTGGCTTTTTTTTGTGGAGTTGCGCAACAGCAAGCTCGCGACTCGCGAACGAAGCCACCTGTGGTGAAAAAGAATGGTGACATGGTTTTTGCGACCCCCAAAACCTGGGTGACCCAAGTTTGAAGCACCAGCGGCAATCATCCAAATACGATGTCATGTCCCATCACAGAAGAGCTCATTCCAGGCTTTCAAATCTTTCAAATGTCAAACAGGATGGAGAGCAAAAAACAAGGCAGGCAAGCAGATACAACATGCTAAAATGATGTGCATATTTTATAAATACAAATTAAAAAGAATGATGACAATAGCACGATCCCATCCAACAACATATAGCTCTATATCAAGCACCCCGACAAAACGAATATGGACCGTTGCCTGGTCAGGCGGGCGGTTCTGTGCCCCACCCCCGCGCCTCCTTCGGCGCCTTCTCGGCCTTGGGCGCCTTCTCGGCCTGATGCCGAGGTGCGAGGTGAACATCGAAGGAGTCAGACCGGTGAGACCGGTGAGACCAGTTTTCGCCCGAACCAAACAGGAGAGACATGCCAAGAGGAGTCTGCCCAGATTCGAGTCCGTGTCGACTAGAACGTCCGAATGGTCTGAGTTCGGTGGCCCGAAGTTCAGAGTCGGTCAAGGGAATCTCTTCGTATATGCCGACCCACGACAGTTGTGGCGATTCTTTTCAGGCCAGTAAGTATGGTAGGGTGAAGTCTACTTATTTCTCAAAACAAGACTTCTTGGACAGACTCCTGTGGTCCAAGCCTAAGCCCTTTCTCTGATAGGTTGTCTCAACTGGTGCAGTGAACCCTCACAGCCACGTGTTTTACGTGTTAGACTCGAACCCAAAGTATCTTGCGCGTTGTGCTCATGTTTCCTGCTCATCTATCTGAATCTATCTACTTGTCGTCTTGCTTTCCTCAGGCATTAGCAATCATTCTGCCATACACGTCGAATTGTACGCCTCGAGGCTCACACATGATTTACAAGATATACCCCCCAGACATTCCATATATATATATATATACAGATCCTTGAGATTCCACCCATTTTCACCCGATGTTTTTTCAGCAAAAAATAAAAGCCCATATGGTGGAGAGGTTTCTCCCCAGGTTTCTCCCGCCCATCGCATCAACCCAGCTGTGCGGAGCCCATCCTTGGCTTTATCCTTCTTCTTCCTGGGTGCGAAGAAGACGCTGAAAGCGATCCTATGCCGCAGATACCCATGGCTTCTGCAGTGTGAAACCCACTCAAACCCCTCATCCCCTCACCCGTCCGCCCAAAAAAAAAAACTCATGTTTCGTTCGTTTCAGCTCGTTGGTTCCCGCAAGGTCTGGTCCCGGTCCGGTACCCAGGTCCGACCCACCTGGTGGAGCCAAGGTGGTGCTTTTGGGCACAAATGAGGTCCAACTCACAGGGTATGGCACCATCGTTGTCGTGGTTTCTTGAAACAGTCAGTGAATTCGTCCATTTTTTACATATGTCGTGCACACCGGCTTCCGCTCGTCCACAGTGGGGCCCAGGGGCTTCTTCCCTTCGTGGTTCTCTTCCTTCTCCCTCTCCTGGCGGGACCGGGCCGCGGAACGACCACTAAACCGGAGACGTTTCGAGCGACGCGAGCACGACACGTCGTGTGGACACCAGACACCGTGGACCACGAATGAAGACCTTCCGCACCGGATTCGACCTGGCCGGGAAGAAGCCAGGGACGGCTTCTTTGGCCGATCAGTTGTGGGAGAAATGGCAGGGATCAGTGGTGTTTAAATCTTCCAGTCTCTGAGACACCCGTTCTAACCCATGCCATGGCGTCGTACCTCTGGAAGAGTCTCATGGAGCGTCTGGGTTTGATCAAAAAAAACTCAGTTACATTGCCGTCTCGCTCGGACGAATCTGCCTTTCTGAGCACTAATGGACGTTCAGGTTCGGTTCGCCATTGGTTCCAATTCTAGTTTTGGGTCGGAAGCTCTGCTCCCTGCAGGTTTTGGATGCTTACTTACATAGCACTTCTAGCACCACGAAACGAACGCGTCGCTAGATCTCTTCCGAAACGAGAAACGGCGCGTTTTTCGGAAGGAACGGTTGTTCCACCGTTCGTTCCGAAACCTCGTTGACCAAACACACCCATACCCTAGCGATCCAGTCGTACCGAACCTCACGTACGGTGAGGACGGAGACACTGAGATGTAGGTTCGGAGGGTCCAGTCGTACCTTCTGAGAAAGTACTTGGATCCCTAGGGATACACCATATACACCTCCACCATGCGGTTCCATCCGCCCATGCTGAGGGCAGGAAAGCCACGGTTTCAACCCGCCGCTTGAGCATCGGTCGATCGAGCAGACGAGGAGGGGACACACCTGATTTGAGTGACGCATGGGATGCTTGATTTCAGTGACCCCAGCAGTGACAGGCAGCCCTACCTCAATCCTTTTGGGGACACCCGGGCTGGCGCGGTGTCGAACTTGATAGCCCCTTAGAGGCGAGGTGATTCGGGGTGTCCATGTCTACCACCCAACTCCCGTGGGTCCGAGTATGTATTTTTATCAGGGACTTCCCCCATCCTCAGCCCTGGCCGGACTGAAATGTTCTGAACCTTCGGAACAGCGGCGGTTCGGTCTCCCTTATTCGGATCCCGCGGCGGACGCGCCCCGGGACCCGAACCTATGCAGGGGTCTATACACCCGAACCAATCCCTTGGAGGGACCGGTCGGGTGAACGGAGCGTCTGGGACACTCATTTACCAGGCAAAAGAATATAACTCCTGCAGTCTCAGACAGCTCGTGTGTAGATCGGCATGAGACACTTCAAGAAATCGGACCCATCGAAGACCGAACGAACTGGGTCCCAAATGCCCCAGAATCTCCTTCTCTCTCTCCTTCTCCTTCTCTTTCTCCTTCTCCTTTTCTTTATGCTTTTCATCCTCATCATCCTCTGATCTGTCCTGTCGAACTCTCTTTTTCCTCTGCAGGCCCGACCCATGTCAACGGTACCTTCGATCCCTTCGAACCCATCGGCCCAAAACGGTCTCCGCTGCTCTGACTCGAGTTCGGCTCGGTGCTTGGAAGGGGGGTTGAGCAGAGGTTCCCTGAGAGTCCGGATGATTAAAACAGAAAGGAATCTCCATGAGATCCTGGTTTCGAATCAGCGCACTTGGTACTTCAGTCACGATGTCCAAACCACCGTGGCCCGACCAAGCAAGGATACCGTGATGCCCCCATGGAGTGTGGCTTCGAAGAAAACGGAACGTATGGTTCAATTGGCCCGGTTTTTTGAGGGTGCCTCTTTCGGCCGTTTGGAGGCTTGAAAACACGAGGACTTCCCCCCGTTCCGGCGAGAGCGCCGGGGCAACTCATGAGATGACGTCGAAGGCGTTCGGTGACCCGCGCGTTGACGACGCGCGGAGACCGCAGAAGATCGAAGTGAGGACATCAGAGGGGGCTTGGCACATGTGATGGCCGAAGGTTCTGGTTGGGCTCGGATTCCCAGGCCAGCTGGGAGTGGGATTGTCCTGTATTCAGTTTTTGGTGGTGCCAGAGTTGATATACACCCAGTCTTGAACTAGTCGTGTATTCCAAAATGTTGTAAACTAGGAAAACCCATCTAAAAGTCATGACCAGCTTGGTCACTGGCCACACTGAGTAAGATGACCCACATTGGGAGTTCAAGTCTAAACACAGCAAAAACCTTAAAGGTTGACATCCCGCATATGACAAATAAGTTCGTTCGTTCATCCGAAATTTGAAGCGCACTTCGACCTAAAACTGCATCCAAATGATTCGATTAATGTTATACATTCTGGTCCTTCTCAGCGACCACTTGGAGCTTCTACTTGTAACCATACACAAATCCCATCCCTCGAACCTTCTTCCGCTTCTTCTTCTTCCGGCTGTCGCTCCGACGGCTGCGGCTACGGCTCCGACTGCGGTCGCGGCTGCGCGACCCACGAGACCCGCGGGACCCGCGACCGTCGCTGCTGTAGCCTCAAGTCGAGGGGGCGTGGTCGATGGCGCTCGGCGTGGGGAGGAGGAATGTTCCAGACCATCCCATGTGACACTGGTGAATCAGGCCCAGCTAGGGGCGGTTGAAAGGGATCAATGTAGGTAAATGACTCTAATTACTTTATTAACTATATTTAATACATCATGGAGATCTGGGTATGGATACTCCCAAAAACCAGGACATTTGACCGGAGACCTACCTTCATGAACTGGGTCACAGCCATAGAAGTCATCGAGGTTCTTTGGGGTGTGCACGTACCTCGATCTTCCAACTGTGGCAAATGGATGCCTAATCTTCATACCTGTAACACCCACTGGTACAGAAAAATGTGTACCACCCAAATTCTGCTCGAGTATAATTTTCTGCTCGAATGCATGCTCCCAAAAAAGGTGCTCAATCTACTTTGGGGGGAGCACACATACGTCAGCAAACTAACACGGCAATTTTTCCATCACTTGCGGGCTCGAATCCAAGTCTTGCGCATCCACAGGCGCCTGTAGTGGCCTAAACAACGTTGTGTTGTGTTGTTCTGATGGCCAGTCCAAAAGCATGGCTGCGACAGGAGGTTCGACATGCCTCAGCTGATTCTCTGAGTCAGCAGGCAAGAGTCGTGGCCAGGGATGAAATCACCGTTGTTCAAGACTTGCAGGAGCCATTTGCTCAGGACCATGCCACGCATGAATGAATGAGCGGGCGAACGCAAGAATGCACGACATGAATGCATGAATGAGTGAACGGACGAACGAAATACATGAATGAATGCATCAGAGCTCCATGTCCAAGTCGCAACCGCGCGAACACGCATGCCCATGTCATGCCATGGCAAAAAGTGCCATCTCCTGGTCCAACTCTTCAACCGACTCTTTAGTCGGGGCACGGAGCAAATCCAGCCCATAGTCCAACTTGTCGGCCAACACAAATTGAGCAGATCTTTTTTGGGGCGCTCGTTTGCGGAAAATTGCAGTTTCCATTTTCCGAATTTGCCTTTTCGAGCCCTAAACGGGCTGGTGGTGATTCTAAACGGCTCATGGTTCTAAACTCAGCCTTGCCCATGCACGCACAAGATTCTCATACAGCTCATGCCACGCATGCTTCTAAACAGCTGGACGTTCTAAAGTGCTCGACTCTAAAGCTCTTCCGAGATCAATCCCATGCGAGGATTCTAAATGCTATTCGGGCCTTTGCGATTCTAAACTAGCCACACGGATTCTAAACAGACAGGCGCAGGCTCGAACATGCGTGATTCTAAACGGCAGTTCGAAAGGCAGATCTGAATCATGGGTTATGCCATGAATTCGTGGAGCGATTGAGGCGTCATGGCCAACGAGTGAGTTGTACTCATGCAGCAGAGTTGTGTTTGCACCATCTGCAAGTTTCAGATTGTCAGCAAAGTCTTCCATACTTCTTGGCCAACTTTCTGGCACATGTGTTGAGCTACGCTCATACAAAAAGAAGAACACTGTACTCAAGTTGCATCACACCATGGGTCGTCCAGCGGCAGCTTCTCAAATATAGCCCGGTCTAAGCAAGTGGCATCCAGACGGACTTTGTTCCTGCATCTGTGCCATGCACATGATAGCCCCTCCACAACTTCAGTAATCTTTTTACCAAAGATTGAACGTCCTTGCAACTGGCGCTTGCGCCCCTCTAAAGAAGCAAAGCGAACTTGATTTGCCAAGGCAAAACACTGTGTTTCACGCAGCTGCCTGCTCCCAAAACGCCATGCCACCGTACAAAGGCAGGCGCACAGCAGCCAAAACTGCTTCTGGGAAAACCACTTGTGGATGAACTTGAGTGAAGCCAGTTGCATGTAAACAGGCATTGCAACGTGCCCAGTCAAGGGAAGACTTTGCATCATACATGTGTGGGGGGGGGCCACTCATTGATCACCAGCCTGCCAACTGCATGCTTACAAGCACATGCCAAGAAACTTCACGCCTTGCCGAGGACTCGAGAGAATGCCAAGACGGAGATGCCAGCACACCTGATCCAAACATAGGTGATGCATGCATTATCGTCCATTCATGCATGCACGCGCGCCAAAAAGAATAATTTCACGATGAATGTCCAAAGGAGCTGAGGCATGAGCGATCTGGCTCACGAACAGCAACCATCAGCTACCTGGACCTTCTCCCCTGATCCAAATGAAAGCTTCAGGGACCGCAAGCCCTGATCTTTCTGGAACTGGCTCTCAACATACCATTTCTTACTTGTAGAAAAACTTGATCACAGTTATATTAAAAAACAAAGTTCCTCTCTCGGAAAATCCGCTCAAATCAGAAAAAAAGTGTTCAACCAACACATTGAGCAGATTATTCTGGACCACTGGGTGAACCAGGTATCTATATATTTTAAACCAGCCCAAAGAAAAGAAAAGGCAGCATTTCGGCAGAGTTGGAGGATCTATAGGTATGTGCACAAATGGTCCTCCTGTTCAAAAAGATTACATCATTACGTATATGGGTCCTCCTGAAATATGTTCGCCACGCTCCAACTCTCAAGGGAAATCCTCGTCTCACCAAACGACACGGCCAACGACCCGCTTCGGAGGGACCCTCCCCTGCCGTCACACCGAGCAAAGCCACACCGGCCTTTACTTCTCGGGGCGGCGGCGTTGGCCACGCGTCAGATGATGTGTATAGCTTGCAAGAAAGAGCAAAAGTCATCGAAGCTACAATAAGAAATAGACAGGCGGTATGTAGAAGCTGAAATGGTTCAAGACAACAGCTAAATGTGCAAACCAAGGAGCTATCGCTATGTTTCCTCTTCTTTTTCTTCTTCTCTTCCTCACTGCCAGAACCACCTGAGGCTCGCGCGCGTAGAGCGCGAGCCAAAAAGAAAGCATTCGACGATGTCTTCGGCCACGTCCATGGTAAGTCCAACAATTGCAGTCTGAAATCAATTGATTTCCGGCGCGCAAAAATGTCAGCCGAGGACTCTTTCAAGGCCGAAATAAACATGAACACGTGGCTCGGGTGCCAGGAAAAACCTGTCGAACAGCCACCAACTCTTCACATGTTTTGGTTGAATTCAAAAAATCAATGAATTCTACCAGGAGTCACAAAGTGGTGGCCCCGAGTCCCGAAGCGAGTGGACCATGGGCACCCCTAACCTCCATTACTCCTGGAGTGCCTCCTAGTCTACACTCCCTGACATCATCAAATAGCACGGCATGACCCCTCTTCTTCGGTTCTGACCATGAGTTCTCCGAACCAACGATCGGAGACCATGGCCAGGTGGTTGGTTTTGCACTCGCTCCACTTCGGATGGTTTCGAACACTCATCCAACGAGGTCACCCGATTTCAGGCCACGGACGAGGTCACCCCAACGAAAAAAGAACGCCTCGCTTTCTCCCCCAGAACGGACCCACCGACCGGGGAACTTCCACTGCAGCACAGCAGAATCCGCTGCAGGGCTGGACGTTTTCGCCTCGCCCGCCGGGCCCTTCTTCTTTCGAAGAAAACCAAATCCGCTGCCCTGAGTTGAGCCTCTGAGAAACAAAGAATCAGCACAGCGCCCTAGCCTGCTGCGCTGCATTGGCTTTAGGTGCCCACACTGGCCTAGCCTGCTGCGCTGCGCAGAGAGCCGCCGTTCAACACCTGCCCCTTCTGCCATTCTCCCCCAACTTGGGCCCCAGCCATCCTTCGAGAAGTCCATCAGCCTACAAAGAGCTGGAGAAACAAGTCGCAAGACGTCGCAAGTACCACAGAGCTGCCAGATGAACAGGGCAGAACTGGGATACCAGATGTGTGTACGATCACAGGATACACCAGTCAGCACGTCCTGGACTAGACATGACTAGACTATCTTCTTTGAGTAGGACTAGACCCCTAGGCTTCCATTTAATAGGCCGAATCCCGAACCACCATTGTTTTACTAAAGATCTTCCACTACAAAACCAGGTCAACCATCCTTTTAACTGGTCTTGGAAGTCCAGACTAGACTCTCGTCTTTCTTAGCTCCCAAACAAGAAAAAGAAGCCCTACACGAAGGTCTCCGGCTGTGCTTTGTTGCAACGGACGATCTCCGGGCCTGCCCCCCTCCACCGGACGAGTCCGGCGACGCACGTCGCCGACGGGTCGCCCGGCGCCTGCCATTCTGCAAGCTCTTCTGTTGCTCCTGAACGGTCCAGCGACGAAAAAACACCAGTTCGACGGTGGGTTCCTATGTCCGCAGAGGTCCGAACTGGACGGACCAAGCTGCGCCGGTGTCTGCGCCTATTCGCTGCGCTCTGAAGGCCCGGTGTCTAGGTCTCTGCCTGTAGATAGCCAACCTTTATAGTTAGCTCACAAGACCTGTGGTTCGCTCACCAGCTCGATGGTCGACCGACCTCCATCGGTCGACCTCTAGGGCCTCTAGGGGTCGACCGAGCGGTCGACCGAAGCGACCCTCTGGCCGGAGAAAGGCCACTGACCCGCTGGTCGACCGAAGGCGTCTGAGAAATCATCTTTCTGATCTACATCAATGGATCCTACCACACAGATCCGCACAGACCAAATGGAGGATGTAAGGCAAAACCTATAAAGTAACCCTCTCCAGAAGTGGTGGGGTAGATCATGAAACAGAAGTTCTGGATGACTTGATCCGGTGTTCGTGGTTGATTCCTCCATCAGTTCCATGTGACTCAAACACAACGGCCATCAGATGGTTCTGAATCTCATGGTCCCGTTCAGCCCTCGCGCTCCTTTTTCGGAAGTCTTCCAAAACGGCAGGGGCGGGGGGCTCCCTCCATACACGGGGAAAGTCACCTATGGGTTCCTGCCCGAAGCGAACACCACGCGCCCAGGAGCCCGAAGCGAACCAAGGAAGCCACAAGCCACGGCACCATGGAACACACGGCACCGTGGAACACACGGCACCGTGGAACACACGGCACAGTGGCAGACGCGGGAATCCACGCGGAGACGCAGGTGTGTTTGGACTCGGTCCTTCTTGAAGAGGTGGAGATTGGCGAGGACTAAACCCTTCATCTTCAATCCAACCTGCCAGCCGCACACGTGACCGTTGACAAAACACCGATGCAGAGTTTTAACTGGAGAAAGAATCTAAGATGCCCGTGGCCAGGTGCATGAGCCACGGGGCCCGTGACCAACTCAAATGTGCTTATTAAGGAGTTCCAAGTTGGCTTGGGAAGGTTTGCTTGGGCCACCTGTGGTCGTGGATGGAGTGGCACCTGGAGAAACCCTGCTAGTCACAGCTTTCTTGTGCGGCAGTGGCCTGCTTCACGGGTGAAAAAGGGGCGATGTGAGTCGTCCAATCTCGACCCAAAAATGACGCCAGCATAGACCCCAGATAGTATAAAGATATATGTGGGCAATGCCCTGCAGTGGCACCTGCCATACACAGGCAACCTGCAGCGGGACCAGCACCCAATCTCCAAAGTGCACACGGCCATAGACATCTCGTAGCAGCACCCTGGAGCAGCACCCTGCAGCGAAACCAGCACCCAGGCTCCAAAGCACACGCAAGTGCTTCTTCCTATACACTTGAAGTAAGAACCCCCATAGCTCTCGCTATCTGGAAAAAAAGAGAGAGAGAGAGAGAGAGAGCGGCGGGTGTGCCTTGGAGAGCGAACAACACCAGCTCAGCACGCTCGGTCATGAAGAACCACGCCATGTTCATTGAAAAAAACCATGGGCCCCACCATCTGGGGTCACAAAGGCGCATTGGTTTGCATGGCAACATGGGTTCCAACGACATTCGTTTTGACGCGCGTCAACGACAACCATTAACAACTCGATCTTTGTTTGCCCACTATCAATGTGCTTGATCTGTCTCCGTCCAAAAGCAATACAGTAATTGCCTGGTCATCTGTATGCACCTCTCATCACCACGTGCTTATCTTTAACGATTGTCAGATATGCAGACTTGATGTTCAACACTCTCCCCTCAGAAACTTCGCGCTGATCTCAAGACTTTTCTAGTGCTCCAAACCGCTGTACATCTTATGACTGGCTCTTTCTATTCTTCCTATATGCTATAAACTTCAAATATCGTTGATGTCGTATCTCCTCAGCAAGCTCTTCCTAGTCTAAACAGGCTTGGAAAAAACAACGGTTTAAGTAGAAACATTGCTAATTGAAGAGCTTTGTGTATCATAGGCAAGAAGCAAATAACACGAGCTTAATTGCAGTATGAGTTTAGCTGGCATCTTGTCCAAAGCAAGACAAACAAGAACCATGACCAGCAAACCAAACACATATAACGTGTTGCCTTGATGGAAGTTAATAAGTTCATCAAACGTCTTGCA